TAACTACCAAAATACCTGCTAAACGTTTCAGGCTTGGGGTAATGCACATAGGGCTTTTCCCATTCCTCAACATTTGAAGAATTACATGGCTGATCGAATATTCTGATGTTGAGGAACTTGGCTGTTGTGTGTGGACTTATCTGCTTTATACATATTGAGCAGATATAAATTCCACAAACCATAGCAAATGCCACGACCACCAGTCTCAATAACAATGGAGATTTCTTAGGACCCTTTATAACAAATGCATCCTGAAATTAAAAACACCCCAGATGTTAACACAATGAATTGGTAATGGAAACACAAAACTCGAAACAGGAAAAATAGAGAGCGATCTGTAGAGATCAAAGGATCATACTGTAGTTTCCATCTCCATAAAAAGAAAGGAGATAAGAAATATGAAAGGGCTTTGGTTTTATTCTGTTTGATCATATTGAGAAAAACAAGGCTATTGAAATGGTCAGAGGACACACTTGAGGGGAAAAAAACATGATGCTAAAAGAAAACAAACAAACACACCATATCCTTACACGTTGTAGGAAAGCCATATGGTCTGAGAATATCTTGTAATTAAACAGTAAACTTCTAAGATGCAAATTTTATGAAGTTAACTATATATGGTCTGTAAGAATCTTTGCTATCATTGATTAAAAACTTATAAGGCAATGCACAGAAACAGAAAGAATAAGAAAATACAATGATCAAGACTAAGTATGAGCTAGCTGAACAGACCTTGTTGAAGAAACACAAATATTCAGTCATTCTTCAGGAGCAGGAGGAGGAGGAGGAGGAAAGAAAAGCAAGAAACATAGCATTCATTCAATTATCTGTCTGCCTTTCAGAGATAAATTAATGTTAGAGAGGGGAACAGAGAAGAAAACTGTGATATGGTTCAGGATTAGAGCCAGTTTTCTATTTTATTATATTATTTTTTTTGTTGAAAAATTTTCTATTTTATTTTGAGTGTATTATATTGTAGATCTTGTCATTTGTCAATATTTTAACGCGGATGTCACTACCTTTTGAACTTCATGAAACAGACGGTCAATCAAAGAGCTAAAATTTCAAAACATGAAACCTTTGGAAGGCTCTAAAATCATGTTTGGTACCTCAACTTTTTTAAATTGGCTCAAATGAATTTCTATGCTCGGGTAAAAAGTTCTTTGAAATGTCAACCCCTTCTTCTGAGCGAAGTGCTGATTAAGAAAACTCATAAATCAGAACTTGATCCAGATTGTTAAACTATAAAAAATATTCATCTGGTCAAGTTTTTATTGATTTAGTCAAAATCAGTCATAATCAACTATTTTTTTTTAAATACGTATTATAGTTTTTATTGATTTAGTCAAAATCAGTCACAATCAACTATTTTTTTTAAAAAAAAAACATGTATTATAAAAAAAACTATAATAATTATTGATAAGCTTTACGATATAAAAAAAACTAGAAAAAACATAGGATTTAACATAATTCAACAATATTTTTATATATATATAGGAGTAAAGAGATTTTATTTTTTTAATATATTAAAATGAGATTACTTAATATGTATTCATAATAAACTTTGATTCACAAAATATAGCTCTATTTTGCTTGGTATATATATTTCTCCACGTGTCACAAATTATAACATTATTATATTGATAAAAAAAAACTTGGATTGATTTAGTGACTCAAGGGTTAATCTAATTAATCAAGTTTTTTTCTCATTCAATTCATGTGATAACTATCCTTCTAAGTACTGTAATGCTAATTAAATAGTAGTGCATGGTGTTATGATATGATTGGACGGAGGATTGATTTGAGCTGGTTTAAAGTATGGAGCCTGGTTTCACAAAATGTGAAAAGTCGGGGACCATACATGATTTTAAGCCATAAAGTAAGGGTTCTTTGGGTAGTTCAAAGTCTTTTCGAGGAAGAGGAAAACGCGTCTGGTAGGCTTCTCCGAATGTACGAACGTTATGTTCGAACCTGTCATATTCGTATATTATTGTATATGACATGACAGGTTCGACATCACAAAGCTGATTATTAATTGTTGTACCAATTAAATATTGCATCCTCGGTGGCCAGTATCCGTACGTCTATACCAGTTCTTGTCCTCTCGTGCACGTATAGAAATATCCCGGTGACTACGGTAGTTTTGCCATATTAACACCGTGTTAATATTTTTTTTAGAGAATTTCTAATAGTTTTAATATGTTGATTTTATAAATAAAAAAATAATATATATTTTTCAAATAAATAAAAAATATTTTATATAATAATACCACAAACACTAAATATTGCATTTTTTTATGGTTATAAACTGTAGATTTATACCAATATCCTAACCTCTTGTGCACATAAAATTATAGTTATAATACTTTGTTTCAGCTGATAAGTTATTTCTGGATTTGGTTTCTAATCTGAATTGATTTTTAAAAAATAACTTAATCCAGGTAATTTATTAAATCAATTTGAGACTCTATGAATACCTAGATTGATTTTAATTTTTTTTAAAGTAATGTAGTTTTAACTTTTTTAAAAAAATTTGAAAAATTAATTTGGATTAACACATCTAACTTATAATCTAATACACAAATCACATTATTTTCTTCTCAAAAATTCATCTATTTTGATATTAATTTACTTTATATGGATTTTATTTATTTATTTATTATAATTTACTTTCCAAAATATTATCAATTCTTGTTTTCACACACCATAGATATCACCAGCTATTACTTATATTGCTGTAAAAAAAACTAAATTTAATAAATAAACTTAAAATATTAATTTACTAATAAAATAGCCCATTTTTTGCACATATTCTTCTTTGATAATTTATTATTATTATTATTATAAATGAGAGATTCGAACACTAGATCTTTTGGGAGAAAAGTTAAGGTATTCATTGGCTATTCAATAATATATATTAATTAACCATGAGCTCGCAATTTCTGATCAATTTATAATATCTTTTCAACGATATCTCTCTCGCAATTTCACAATGGAAATCTACGTTTTTGTTTCTATCTTTTATTATTTCCATGAGCTTAAAGTCACCAGACAATATATATATATATATATATATATATATATATAATTAAGCATCTACCTTCTCCATGGCATTGCCGTCCCGTACTAGATTCCTTGCCACGTGGCCCGAACTCTTTAAGAGATCCTTAGGTTGTCAAACAAGGAGCAACAGTTGTCAAAGGAGATCTAAGGAATTTAAAAACTCATCTCTGCTTATCAACTTCGTGCACCTGCGCCCCACGATCCTGTGTTCATACCCGTAACACTCGGCTCGGTCGGTGGTTTGACTTGGATGTTTCCTGGATGGGTCAATCCCAGATTTCATACAAGATTAGGAGTAGTTAGTGCTCGAGAATCAATTGTTTTTTAAAATATTTTTTATTTAATAATATATTATAATAATATATTATTTTATTTTTTAAAGTTATTTTAATATTAATATATCAAAATAATAAAAAAATAATAAATAATAATTTTAAACAAATCTTTTTAAAAATATTTAGTGAAATGTTGTTTGGAACATATTCCAAATGACCTCTTATTTTCAAATCATCTAGAAAGTTGAGCCGATCAAACTTTGATAATTTTGATAGGATTTATAAAAGATTTTTCTAAATTTTTTAAATAATATTATCCAACACGTCAATTATATTCTTCAATGTTGAAGGATTCATAAATAATTATATCCTCATTTAAAACCATCCTCTCCATCACTCCTTTTCTTTTTATAGATCACACATCGGAATCACTAGTGTTCATTGCCCAACAAAAAATCACAATCATGTACCCTTCTTCTAGCTTAATTAATATTTTTTCTTTGATTTTGCTTGTTATTTACTTGCATGTCATCCATGATAGCCTATCATCACCATAGCAAGCGCGGCTACTTTCATCATAATCCACCAACCCATGAATCCCTTGACCGATTGAACGACGTGCTTTGCATCCTTTAAAGAAGCGAATATTAAGAAATTTGTTAAGATAAGAGCACCACGTATGAAGAGGATTGTTTAAAGAAAACTGATAAGAGTGATCTTAATTCCTCACCTCAAGTCTTGACTTAAACCGACAATAACAAGAGTTGTTTGTGACATGTTGCAAAGATTTCTTCACATGTTTGGCTCTGCCTCTATAATTTATCTTTTCTTTTACAGTTAAGAATTTTTTTTTCATGTTCATAAATTAATCACAGATAATCAGAAAAGGGAAAGTTAATCACCCAAAATTGCAAAGGAAAGTGCAAATAATATTGAAGGCGTCAACTGGTTTTCTTATAGTAATTAGTGAAATTTAAGCTAACTCACACACACCCATACGACCAGGAAAACGAGAGTCGATCAAAATTCATGTTTCAGGAGTGATTTGATGATCGATTGTGGAGGATCCTACTTTTAGTGCGTGAACCTGAGGTCTAGATAATCCCTCGGAAATGATGGCAGAATTTTCAAAAACAACGGGCTCAACCCAAGCATACATGTGGGCCACGATCCTCGGATGAAATATGAGCGTGCCCGAATTGGGACGGGCTCATTGATAAAATTGGCATCTCTCTCTAGCTGTTAACTAATTTTGTTTGTGGAGCATCAACGGATGCATCATGTAATCTTCAGTATTGCAATATTTTGACCTACTATTTCGTAAGCCCAAGACAAATTGGTCTAGTATTTCTCTTATATGTCGAAGGATATAACAGGAGATTTGACAGCAAAATCAATAAGAAATGCAACATAGAATAGTTTATTGGGATATTCGAGGAAGAGCAGGCTTGACTGCATGTGAATCGTGACAACCGATGAGAACATGGAAATTCGAAAAACAGAGAAATGAAAAATGGTAACATAAGCCTAGCAAGTATTTAAGATCTAATAAAAGAAAAAAATGGTCTTACTAAGAAACCTGATTTCCAGATGCCTAAGCCGATGAATAACAAATAGAGCTGTGAGACAAGCAAGAGATGCAAACCAAACTGCCGAACAAGACACACAAGAACAAGAATATCAAACAAATATTAACAAGTTGCTAAAATTCATCCTCCTATTGCTTAATTGTAATATAGAAACCCCACAAGTTTAACCTCCAGACGCACACATGCACTCTAAGTAATATAATACAATCAACCCTATGCAATCGTAACAATCTGCGCCTTTTCCCAAAACAATTTACCATGGGTTGAATGCAAGGCCTTAACTGCCACTATCCATAGCGTATAAATACTCCATGAAAACGTTGCCATCCATGCCGTGTGTCCTTTTGATAAAACAATTCCATCACAAACAAATACTAATGCTGTTGCATGTGCAAAAACAAAGCTTCTCCTTTTACTCAATGACGTGAATCTTGTTTCTGTAAGTTGACCACCTTAGGGATAAACATTGACTTGGTCCACAACAGAAACAATGATATTTGGCAACAACCATAAGAAAAGCAGGCATTCTTTACAACTGATGAGAATCAAAGAGAAGGGGAAACAAAACATGAAACCAGACAAAACAAAATTCCTGTCTAGAGAAATAAAAATAAGATTGCAGGTGCGCTGGTTTCAGACATGCTTGTTCAGGGATGATCATTTAATATTAAATCATGTTTTAGACGATGGAATTAGTTTTCACATTTCAAAATTAAATGAATAGGTGGAATGAACTGATTCAAAGGCAGTCATACCACAACTACACAAGCAACTATGAGGAAAAGGGAAGCATCGGATTAATCAAGAAGAAAAATGAAAAAAAAAGGTACCACCTTACCACAAACATGCTTTCAAAGCTGCATCACAAGATGATCAGCCGGACTATCTGCCCCAAATATCTGAATGACTTTGCCGCTTCCTTTAAGCATTTATTTTTCTCGTCTCGTGTCCAGTGCTGTTTTCATAGCATTACAAACATACAGTGGATAGGTATCAAGAAATGTCAAAGAAAAGCAAATGCAATTCAATGGATGCTTGGTGATGATCTCAAGTTATTAACCTCTCCAAGCATATTGAGCTTCTCACGCACACCCTTCAACAATTCCTGGGCATCTCCATCCCATCTGTAGAACTCCAGCTCTCTTCCTTGCAGTATCTTGTCAGAAACCTGAAATTATAAATCAAAACAGCATGATTAATGATTGATTTGATTTTGGAAAACCACTAAAGATGGGCCCAGGTTTTAATCGGACCCTTTTTCTTTAGCTCATCCATAGAACTGATTCTGTTTCGACAACACCAGCTAGAAGACGGCACAAGGTTTAAGTAGAACTTTTTTAACTTCATCACACGAAAGAAAGAGCTAGCTTGACTTAGAAAGAAAGTCAATGATACAATCATAATTGGCAGCCATTATATCCTCCTTCGTTCAAGAATTTTAAAATTTGCACATAAGATGACCTTGTTACGATGGCACAGATTAACCATACCTCAAAGCAATTCAATATGGTATTTCTAAGGTTAAAAGGCCGGAATGTAGAAATTGTTTCTACATCCTGAGCAGGAATTGTTGTATAAACAAACACACAAATACACAGACCTTTCTAGATATCACCTGACCGCCTGCAATATGTGAGAAATATATGTTGTAGAAATGGGAAAGGAACAGTGGGGCATTATCCTCTGCAAGCTCCTCCAAATACTTGACATAAGAAGTTCCTGGAGTACTAGGCTCAGGAATCTCTATATTCCGTTGACTAAGCCACTCGAGGTCCTTTGCAAGACCCTCCGATCTTTCCAACCCAGTTTTTCTAAAATAGGTATCTGCAATCGGAAAAACAAATCTTAGTAAAGATTCTTTCAAAATTTCAACAAGATTTTTGTTAGATTCTCTAAGAAATCCAGCCACAAGAAGAACTCACAAGAAACATCATCAGATTTATCAACAATCCGCTCAAGAGTGTCGAAAACAAGCTTGCTGTCAACTAGATACTTAACAAACCCTTCCATACTGGGAATCCAAATATCACTATCACCATCACCATCACCATTTCCCTCTTCTTCTTTTTCAGATACGCTATCGTTTTCTGAATCTTGACAGCTGTCATCATCATCATCACTCTTAACAGTCTTGTGGGTATGTTTGCCTTTGATATTACGGAGCTTCATGGCAACAAATCTCATCTCTTCAGTAATCCCTTTGTTCTCTCCTGGATATGGCTTCCTATACCTTTTTCTCTTCTTCATCACGGGCGGGCCCACACTCGGTGCTGCTGTTGTTGGTAAAGAAGAATTTGAATTAGAGCAACACGTTATTATCTTGTGGTTCTTGTTTTTTATTAGGTTTGGGAACTTTAACTGAGATGGAAATAGTAATGAAATAAAAGAAGAAGAATGGACAAGACGCTCCATTGATGGTGGTTTACACGACGCTGTCAAGGACAACAAGGCCATGGTTAAACCTTAAACCTCGCCTCGCCTCGCCTCCCCTCTGTGCTAGTGCTAAAACGATGATGAGGTTTATCGTTTGCATAGTGGGCTCAAAGCCCGTAAATAAATATATGCAGACCATATTATCTAATGGGCTTCGACTTTTTTCTTTTACCTGATACATTACAGGCTAATAATCATCTCCAATAATAAAATTACAGCTGGTATATTTCAATTTCACTTCCTGCCACGGTAATGTTTTTGAGAATTTAAAATGTTTTTTTATTCATAAATATATTAAAATAATATTTTTTTATTTTTGAAAAATATTATTAATATTAACACATCAAAACAATTTAAAATATTAAAAAATTATTCATAACCATGCTTCTCACTTTGCTTATACACGCATATTTTAGATGGATATTATTCATTACACTCGTAAAAACAGGATTCATGCTTGCATAAAAAGAGAATACACATGTAATAATTTTTCCATTAATACGTCCCATGGAAGATCAAAATATGCAAGAATTCAGACACAGGAAGGGGAATAAAAGCTGTTCTCAATTTCTCAGTATGTTTCTTTTCTTCCTCTCAAAAGTATTTACATACACCATGATTCAATGTATGGTTTATTTACAGCTGCATGAATAGTATATTTACAGATAAACGGGGAAGACATGTATGATGTACAATTCGTTAAAAAAATTGGGAGTTAAAAATTACAAGTAAAAATAACTTCCTTGTGATGATGGTTTGAGGGCAAATTTAACACCTGTAAGCTTCATCCTGTGAGGCCCGCAAGCTTCATCTTATCCGGTCTACAGGCTATTACAGTTAGAATTCGAATCCCAGCCCAACGAGGTTGGAAATGGTCCCTGTTCAAGCTCCAAAATTGTTTCCCACAAGCTTAACAGTTCGAGATTTAGTGTAGCTGTTAACAACAATTTCACGGTGAAACATCTCTTCCTGAATAATGGGCTTTCATCTTCTGTAAAAAATTTAATGTCTCGGTATACGAAGGATCAGTGCGGCACACTGGCTTGCATGAATTTATATGATCGGTCGAGTCTAGAACCTGTTTCGGTATATTGGAAAAAGAGTCAAATGCAAAATTCCACAGAAATCCAATACGTATAACATGTTCACATCATGCATTTGTCTCTGAAAAAGCCTGGGTCAAAAAACTTTGAGAAACAAAAAATAGTAAGACTCTGAGGGGTCTGGAAGCATTTAAACCTCCAAGCATGTCGTCAGAAAAAATAAATAAATATATTAACACATCAAAACAATTTAAAATATTAAAAAATTATTCATAACCATGCTTCTCACTTTGCTTATACACGCATATTTTAGATGGATATTATTCATTACACTCGTAAAAACAGGATTCATGCTTGCATAAAAAGAGAATACACATGTAATAATTTTTCCATTAATACGTCCCATGGAAGATCAAAATATGCAAGAATTCAGACACAGGAAGGGGAATAAAAGCTGTTCTCAATTTCTCAGTATGTTTCTTTTCTTCCTCTCAAAAGTATTTACATACACCATGATTCAATGTATGGTTTATTTACAGCTGCATGAATAGTATATTTACAGATAAACGGGGAAGACATGTATGATGTACAATTCGTTAAAAAAATTGGGAGTTAAAAATTACAAGTAAAAATAACTTCCTTGTGATGATGGTTTGAGGGCAAATTTAACACCTGTAAGCTTCATCCTGTGAGGCCCGCAAGCTTCATCTTATCCGGTCTACAGGCTATTACAGTTAGAATTCGAATCCCAGCCCAACGAGGTTGGAAATGGTCCCTGTTCAAGCTCCAAAATTGTTTCCCACAAGCTTAACAGTTCGAGATTTAGTGTAGCTGTTAACAACAATTTCACGGTGAAACATCTCTTCCTGAATAATGGGCTTTCATCTTCTGTAAAAAATTTAATGCCTCGGTATACGAAGGATCAGTGCGGCACACTGGCTTGCATGAATTTATATGATCGGTCGAGTCTAGAACCTGTTTCGGTATATTGGAAAAAGAGTCAAATGCAAAATTCCACAGAAATCCAATACGTATAACATGTTCACATCATGCATTTGTCTCTGAAAAAGCCTGGGTCAAAAAACTTTGAGAAACAAAAAATAGTAAGACTCTGAGGGGTCTGGAAGCATTTAAACCTCCAAGCATGTCGTCAGAAAAAATAAATAAATAATTGCAATGATTTGGTGAACCCAGCCCCTAGCCTTCCAGAAGTCATAAAATCCAATGAACTCATCCGCCATCTTAAAAGGTACAAAGGTGAAACAGAAAAAAAGAAAAGTTTGAACAGTAGCACTTACAACAAGTTCACCAAATCCAGGGTAAGCTGATTCGATTGGCACAATTTCCATCCTCCAGGCCCATCCCCCATATCCTTCAACAATTGGAGTTACCTTGGTCTGCAAACCAGTGCCAGCAATCCATCACACTCTACACAAGGAGAGCACAAGTATCAAACAAGAAAGAGAAGTACATATTTATTACCTCACAGAAACTGACGACTTCAACCAGTCCTTTCTTATGAAGCTGGCGGATAAAATCATTAAGTTCTACAAGTCTTGGAGAACCACTTCTTAGCTCCCCTATCTATGAACAAGCAAATCAGAATTTATCAGTCAAGTGATGAACAATAACAAATTTAGTATGTGAACCAACAATATGTACTGAGTTGTGTACAGACAGTTGGAGCAGGACGAAGCACAAGCCCCATTCTCCAAGGCATGTCTGCCAGTTTGCTGCCAAAATGGGGACAGCTGTAAAACACCTGAAATCAGGGGGAAAACACCACATTAAACTCCTTGAGGGTCCAACCTGATCAAGTTAATGAAAGAAAACAAATTGCTAGTAATTTTGATAATTACAACTTAAAGTAACATCTATCAAAAACTTACGAGTCCAGCAGTGTTGTTCACAAGATTATGAATATTTTCTGACTTGGCTCTATGCAGCATCTGTTTGACGAGCAGGCCTCCCATGCTGCAAGCAGTGAACAGTTACTTAACAAGAGGATGCTCTGAGTAAGCAGTATAAATCTGAAAGACCAGCCCAGCCACAGGGATGTGGAATTCTGAAGTGAACTAACAAACTTGGAAGCCATGTTTCTTTGAAAGTCCCATGTCATTTTCAATTGCAAAAGTGAGCTATCTGAGTTCATTTATTACAACCTGTACCAATGCATCACAGCATGCTGTGCATGCAGACATAGAATAAGGATTACAGTAAGACATGAAACCACAATGGGTCCAAATTCCAGGTCCTTGATGTTTATTAAGTGTCAGAAGAATACAATGGTTGGAGACCCAAGTTTATACTGACACATCGCATTATATCAATGGTTTTCAAGAAAATATCTATTTCAAATAACACAAGTCCTCTCAACGGTATTCACAGCAGTTCCAGCATGCCATTTATTGCTGCAAAATATACGTTTACGTGTGCACTCAAAAAGCCTGCTGGCAAATACCCACAATCAACAAAATAAAGTCATATCATAGCAGCTGCAAATTATAGCAATAGCAAGATCGGCATCACTGGTTCCAATAATGTAGAATACAAGCAGTACATTACATGAACAATAAAGCTTACCTGTGAGTCACAAATACAACAGGACGATTTCCAATGCCAGCATCCACAAGCTGCTCTAACAGCTTGGAGCTGACTTCCTGCAAGTTATAAGCAGAACATGAATAACGATGTAGCATGCTAAAAGCAGAAAGGAAATGATGTTTGCAGCAAACAATTTGTCACTAACATAGAAGAGAATAATGATACCAAATGATCACTCAAGTAATGAATAAAAATATCAGACCAGCTTCTAGAAAAAACAAAATCTATCTCATTTGGGAAATTCAATGTATATGAGCAATGCAAGCATTAACCTTGACATGCATAGTCTTATGTATCGCCCACTAAACTTGGCAAATCTACTACTTTAAGTAAACAAGATGATTGAATTGCAAATAATTAAAAAGTTCCCAAAATTAAAAGTTTGACCTGCATCATTTTAAAACCATCAATAGACTAGTCACAATCATTTGCCAGGTTAGTGTAATTCATATTTTTTAATCATTGATAATTAAACTCCCCAAAATGAAAAAAACAGCAAGCCCCAACATGAAGTCAAGCACCAATCCTACCACAATATCAAGCAAAAAAGTACAAACCTGAAGAGGCAGACTAGCTCCAGACCATTGAGTGAGATTTGTCTGCATTGTCATTCAAACAGTAGACAGACATTGATGAGGCTTGTGATAGAGACAAAAGCAGTAGAGAGGCTTAAAAGAATGAATATCATTCTTTGTAAATGAAGCACTTCTAATGCAAGTATTTAAGTTACAAACCTTGTATTTGAGGGTAAAAAGACGAGCTTGAGGAAAGTCCGCTGAAAGCCATTCACCAGGCCAAAATGTCCCTAATTTCCCCGCTTCCTCATCAATCCTCTCAACCAAGCCAGACTTCGTTGAAAGTTTGTCCTCAGATATTCGCCAAGTTTTATAAGGCCCACCACGCAAACCATGGACAAAGACAACATCTATCTCTGGAACTTTTGAATCAGAGTCCTTCGGCGAATCATTGCAATCATACGACCTTTTATATGCATCTGAAGCACTAGTTCCAGTTGAACCATCGCTGGCAATAGAATCCTCAATTGAAGAGGACTTATTTTTTTGAATTGTCATGCTATCTATTTTTTCACAATACTTCCAGTGTGGCAGATCTGGATTAATCAAAAATATCATATCGCCATAACGAGCACAATCACCTCTTCCATTTCCAGCTTTAGTCTCACTAGCATTGCTATTAGTTGATTCGCTACCAGTATATTGGTTGCACAACACATTTAAGAGTGTTGCCCTAGCATAACTTCTTATCTTAAGGTTACTACAACCTGCAATCCTCCCGTTAGCACAATCTTCAAGCCATTCATACCAAGCCTTGTCTGCTAGGATAACTTTTTGGACTTTTGGAAGTAGTGAAATAATATTCAAGAGTCTAGCCGCATGCTTTCGAATGTGAGCTGTAGGTGGAACTCGAACAC